TTCTTTAACATTGAAGAAAAAGCCCCCTGCAGTATTTTAAGGTTCAACGTTTACGTCTGCTAACTTTTGTTGCCTGGGTGTGGTAATAAGACTCTTAACCGTCCCAAAAGGCATGTTGGGACGGCCAGTTTACATCATTCGCAACATTCTGCTGCAGTTTCTCATCGATGGAATTTTACTACAAAAGTTTGCAATGATAATGATTCGTGCTCAATTTTACCTGCACCACAGATGAGTACGGTGCTGCCGAGGGTGACGCCGGCCCGGCGACAGGCATGAATCCCCACAGAGAGAGGTTCGATGAGCGCACCCTCCTCAAATGTGATGTTATCAGGCAACCTTGTGCAGACACACAGAAACAGATGAGACTGACAGGATATGCAGAGATTAGGCAACAGAGTCAGCTACTGATCATTTATGAGGTAATCTTTGATGCAAGGTTTTGCAACAATGAAAAAGCAAATACTTGTAGCAGAAGTTGGCGTTGTGTGTGTAATATCTGCAAATACTTGTAGCAGAAGTTGGCGTTGTGTGTGTAATATCTGCACAGGTTTCCATCGTCGGGCGGCGTGGCACAGAAGAAGATGGTGGGGGACAAGTTGTACTGTCCTCTTTTGAAGAACTCATCCATGTCGCGGGGCACACCAGGCTCAATGGCCACCCTATCGCCTGGAAAGTTACAATTTCACTTGTCATGTAGCTATCAATGCATAAATTGATAAGAGCACCCAATAAAAGATAAACCTGTTGTTTGAAGAGCAGTAAAGATTTTACAGATTGTTAGGATTATAAATATCTATTTTTAAAAAGCATCAATTTAAGATGTAGTGTTAAACAGAAATGTACAATATGTTTAATTTGGAGAGCAAACAGTGCCTTTATGTCATGTGACTCATGGCTTTGCATTATGTCAAATGTCAATGTCAAATTTATTTATATAGCACTTTAAAACAGGTATAAAACTGCACCAAAGTGCTGTACAAGAACGATAACACAAATGACAAAACAGAGCACAAAACAATACATCAATTAAATGCCAAAGAGTATAAATGAGTTTTAAGAAGTGATTTAAAATGATCCAGGCTGTGGGCAGATCTAATCTGGTAAGGTAAGTTATTCTATAAAACAGGAGCAGCAACAGAAAAAGCTGTTGCTGCATTAATGTTTCCAGGCGAAACATTAATGCAGCTTCACCTGGTTTAAGGTGCGTGACTGCTGATCCGACCTTCACCACTCGCCCTGCAGCTTCGTGGCCCAGCACCATTGGTTTTTTCAGCACAAAGTCCCCAATTCGGCCATGCTGCCAGTAGTGCACATCTGATCCACAGATTCCCACTGAGTGCATCTGGAGCAGCACATCTAAACACCAAACAAGACAAAAAGGACTAAGAGGACACACATTATTTCCTTCTGACTAATTTGATACCAGATCTCTTCGTGGCTTTAAATCTATTTTTGACTGATCAATATTGTTTTTTTGGGGTGGGACCAGACTTTCAACTTATAAAGCAGGAATTTATTATATCAAACCTTGACATAATTTCAAAGATCTATGATTAAGCAGCTCAAAATATGTCCATAGATGATAAACAGAGTAGCTCAAGCTATTCAGGGAGCATTAAGGGATTCAACGTTAGATTGATTATTGCATTGGATTAACTCACTGCTTATAATGGCAAAGTACATGTATAGACAGCATCTGAGAACATGTGCTCCTGTTTACCATTAGGTCCTGGCTCGGGAATTGGACGGTTTTCCTGTTAAAGACACAATAATCTGTCAGTTAATTTTGCACAATTGGTAACTGTAACATTTTCGGTGAAAGTTTGTGTTCGGTTTCTTACAATCCTGAGGTCTCCCTTAGCATACAACACTACGGACGCATTTTCCTCAGCCATGATAGACAGTGAAGGCAGAAAAACAACCCGAGTCCAAAGAACTGTGCAACCTGTGCTCTGCTCGCCAGAGTTATGGTACAAATGGGTCAGGGAACTGGAAGCGGGCCGGAACCAAAACACAGTCTTGGATTGGTCGAAAAGCCGCGGAATGAACCATTTGCCAGGGAACAGGGGTGGACGAGGTAGTCGCTACCAAGACATTTTGCTGCAGTCTTGAAATATTTAACATATTAAAAGATATATAAATATTTTTGATTTTGTATAAATACATTAGCATTAGTGGTTAACTAAATTCATGCCATTAAAGTGATGTTATTTTATTACCTACCTACCTGAGCACGCCTTCAACACAAATCATAAAACTCGAGTCCATCAGCAGGAAATACGATTTTTTGTTTTGTTTTTGATGACACCCCACGCTAGATATTAAAATGTGGGCTTATTTCTTTATTCGTTTTATAATAACTATAATGCCTTAATTTTTTACAATATCCGTTCCTGAGCAACGCAGCGCGTAAAGATGACGCGTGTCAGTGGAGTTGAATTAAGATGGTTCAAATGTTTTAGTTAGTCAGAGGTGAGCAAACGTTTTGCTTTACGAATATCACTACTCCAAGAAATTACTAAAATATATTTTTAAAAAGTATTCTGTTAAAAGGTTACACAATTGAGTTACTATTCTTAGCTTCTGATTTAAAATTTGGAAATGTCATCAAACAGATAATAACCGCAAAAATAATAAATTTAGACAAAAGAAAGAAACATTCTTACAGCAGACAATGTGTATATTGTTAGGACAGTATTCCAGTGACTGTCTACTTTTTACAGTATCTTTTATTTATTATTTTTTTTAGCTCCAAATGATACAACAGGCTCAGTGGATAGAAAATAACATGAGAACAACGAAGCTTGTGCACAAACAACAAACCCCACTGTAACATACAGTGGTGTGTCTGGTGTATTTTTGGTCAAAATATGTTTGTTCATTTTGTGAAGTTATTAAACGTGGGGAGAGTATCCAGACATTTCATGCAAATGAGAGTAGCAGTACTTAAAAATAGTAGTATTCAAATAGAAATCGAAAGCATGGTGCCATAAAACTTACAAAAGTTTACTTTTTTTCTAAAACATTAATTAAATATAAGTTAATACCCACCTTTACTCTTTGTGCAAATACAAACATGTTCATGCAATGTTATTGAAAAATGATAATACAGTAGTTGGTAGCACCATTAAGTTATAGTTTACATTAAATCTGTGGGCTTAAGCTAAACATTTTAAGGAAACATAAGAACATAAACCATAAGTAAAATTAAGCAAGTACTTGCAGGATATATGTTGGTGTGCAATAACAATGTTCCATATTTTATTTCAAATACAGAAAAACAAATATATCTGCATCAACTCTTTCATTGAAAAACCAGAGGTACAAATTATGTGGCAGCCTTCATGTTACAAACTGAAATTAAACACAGACAAATTAAAGATGCTATTATATACCAGAAATACAAAATAAGACTGCCATTGTTTCTGTAATTATTATTTTTTCCCCCTTTCTTAGTGTGCCTTGGCATATTTTTGCCCCAAACAAAGGCAGTCTTTACATTTTGAACATCTGAAAACCCCAGGATGCACATCATGCAGATCACCAGAATATTTCTGAAGAGTCTCTATGCTGATGTACTCTGCAGAGACAGAGCAGTCTGTCTGCATGTTAAGCCGTTTACCCGGGGCCACAAAACTAACTGGGCTTCTAAAATGGTCACATAGGTGAGCTTCGCCCTCTGCTGAGTCCATGTCTGATTCCTCAGATCTGACAACAAAGCAGAGAGAAGTCGATTTATTTTACCAGTTAAAGACCAAAAATGGTAAAATCACAAACAATTTCATTAAAATCAAAATGTTAAACTTACATGCTTTCTCTTGCGTCTTGCTCGCTATGAGGGACGTCTGGCAGGCAGAAAGACTTTTCTTCCTCCTGTGAAACAAGTGGGGGGGGAACCTAGATGACCTACTTCCAACATGATCTACCCCCTTTTTTAATTCTGGTTGCCCGGTTTTGTTACCTGCACAATGGTTTCTTCGTCCTCATGTTCCCAAATCAACCTACCAACCACTTCTCTCACCTCTTGAATCACAAAAGAAACACAGTGAGTTATAAATAAAACATTTAGCCCTTTGGGTATGATTGAAAACAGCTACTTTTGATTTTTACAGCAAACACTAGGTTCTTTGATGTTAAGAAAGAAGAAAATCAGTGTGTCACCATCCTGCACAGAAGCTGGAGGCAGCACATAATGGCCGATGGACACTGATTTCACACTTTGCCGCTTTTCACAGGTGGACAGGAACAAGCTGTGAAAAACAGTGACCTTTTTCGAGATGTAATTGTCGCTCTCAAATATCCTGGGGGAAAAAAAAAAAAAAAAAAAACTAAACTAAACACATATTTCCAGCTTTAACACAATTGTGGAAATTTACAAGTAGATCCCCAGGACAATAGCTTGTATTTGTCTTCTTGCTCACCCCAGCGTGTCGGGACATGTTGCATCTTCACTGAAGAGGTAGTCTGCCTGCCTCCAATCTACGATGCTCCCACCTTCCGCCACTGCAAGAAATATAAGATTTAAAGAAATCAGTCGGCCATAATTTTCAACCGATAACCTATGCACTGTAGATCCAGCCACAAAATAAGTTGCAGACTGACCAGAATAAATATTTCATCAACTATATGTATTCCTTCTTAGAGTTCTTCAAAGTCTAGGTTTTGGAGAGGAATGTGAACAGAGATGAAGGACACATCTTGGATGAAAATGGCGCAGAAGGATTTTCCCACTTCGATAAATGATGCTGCAGGTCAGTTTATTCGGAGATGAGGTTTGGAACCTCCAACCAGTCATGTAATTGCAGTGTCATTTCTACACAGTATTCTTAATTGTACTCTTCCAAAAAAAAAAAAAAAAAAAAAAAAAAAAAAAAAAAATTTATAGGTTCGAAGCTGTTTTAATCATATTTGAAGAGTTGGAGGTTCTTGAAGAACCTCCAACTCCAACTCCAACCAGTTGGAGCTGGTTGATCACACAACTTCAACCAGTCATATTTTTCTTTCCGAAGTCAGACGTTTTGAAAAATCTAAAGCAACAGATTTGTTCTTCAACATAATTATCTCCTATGATTCAGCTAATGTCAGTAAAGACTAAGATTTGTTGAATGTTTCTTCCATCTACCACGGTATTAGAATGTTGATGGATGAAATGCATAAAGCAGACTGGGTCAAACACACAAAGTATTCCGGACTTCAAGGCGGAAGATCTGTGATTGTCAGTTTCTTTAAGTAAAGCACAACAAAGCTTATCGAACGACCTTTTTACGTTATTTAAAAACTGCATTGGTTAGATTGGTTAGATGTCTCTGTGTCAAGTCTGTATGGAGGACTGTTTAGGTATCCACTTCGTAGAGGTATGATGGGAAACAGCAGCAGTCAAAACCCCTCATTTATCATTTTTCATCTTTAAAACGATAGCAGGTGACTTCAATGTCTTCAGCACCTGTCCCGCCTGCACGTCCAGGGCTGCTCCTTCTTCTTCTCTGAAGCAACAGCGTCACTTTCCAGCAGATGAGCTGGTGTTGACGTGTGAAGCCTGACTTCAGCCTGTGAATGCTGAAAGAGGTGAAGAAGTTGTCCAAGCCATCAGAGCAGCTCAACGTCTTTACAGGACAGGACAGTGGCTAGTTTGACTTATAGTCTGTGTCATGGTGCCTTTCTGGATTAAACCAAAACAGTGAAGAGGAAGGCATTGCTTTGTAATTTTTCTATTCTTTCAGGCTTTTTGGGGGGGGGAGGGGCTGAGGGGGGAACTATTGAAAATACACTTGTCTAAAATATGCTAACAGCTTGAATTACTGAGAGTTTTACCTTTGGTTATCCATGTTCAGATTTTTTGTTGAAATGCTCCTTTTTGCCTATTTAATATCGTGTGTTATAACTGCTTTCGTGAAGCTTGTAATGCAATCATTTCAAAAATAAACAAACAGAATTGACAACTGCACATTCCGCAATTCTAATCAGACAAAAACGTCAATTTTGATGTTAAATTTTAAAATAATAAGAAAGAAAATGTTTTAGAAATGATTTGAAAGCAAAAATAAATTATCATTATTCCTTTTTTCAGATGCTTTATTTTCCTAGTTAGTGTAAATAACAAGCTAAAGACGTTCAAATATGAGAATGTTTGCCGGCTTATGCCTCAAGCGGATGTTACTTGGATAAAGTTGAAAAGAGTTAACTTACTCCAAAAGTCAAGGCGATCTTGCGGCACACTGCTCGAAAACCAGGCAGTCTTACTGCTAAACATGGCTTCTCTTCCTTTAAAGATAAATCCTACAAAGTTTTCTCGTGTAGTTTTGAAGCTATTACCAATTTGTAATGCCTATCTTCATTCTTTAATCTTTTGATTCGGCTAGTGTGCTCAATATCCAGCGGTAACTGAGCGCTAGCATCAAGCTATCTGCGGTTCGGCGCTGAACAGTGTTGCATTCAGGTGCCTTAGGAAGAGTTCGGAAATGTCCCTTGTCAGACGACCTTCAACGGCGGCTGCTTTCGTTTTGCTATAAAATACATAATGTGCATATGAGTTTTCTATTATAAAGTAAAATGATTGATTATGGCAAAAGTTTAATGACAAATATCCTATTTTATTTTTATTTAACTTTTTTTAAAATCATCATTCTTATTGACCTCAAATGTACAAATATAGCCATAAACGCCACTTTAGACCAAGTGGCTCCAGGCGCTTTGAAAGAAAATCAAGAATACAGAGTTGAATGGTTTGACGTAGATTTATAATTATGACACCTAATATTTACAGACATATCAAAACATAAATCATTAAAGACATCATTGATCCCAAACAAACCAAAATAGAAAATAAACATATGAACAAAATAGAACAGAAAAGTTAATCAACAAAATAAAAGAAAATAACAAAGCATACCCCAGTCTTTGTCCTAGTTGATAGATGAAGTTGGGTTAGTTGGGTTCTTTTTGCACAATTTCCCAGAGCCCTACAGCATTTTTATAACACCTTCAAAATCATAACACCATAATAGAATAATTAGTGTGTTCATTATTTCCTCAAGCATTATCCTTGAATGTGCAAAAAGTGAGATAAAAATGTCTCAGCACAAACCTGAATGCTTTTTAAGGAGGTATTATACTACCTCATAACAATTTTATGAAAACTGAAAATGTCTCACTCATAAATCTCTTGAATATTTCAGCCCTTTTATGTTTACTTTTCCAAATTACCTCTCTGTTTCTTTATTACGTCAATAGCACTCTTAAACGCTAAATAATTCGTTTTGTGTTTTAATTTTAGACACTGCTGAGAGTGCCTTTTTGATATGCCTACAGCATGGCTCTCATCTTTTTATTCAGTTTTTTTTCTCCTTTATTTATTTTTTTTCTTTTGTGTGTCAGTAGCAGTTTTTCATCACGAGATGGCACTGTTTGCAATGTATGTCTTAGTTAACCAGCCAGCTTTGAACATGGCTTTTATCCGTGTTTTTTCACATTAATGGCAATGAATTATTAAAGATGGAAAGAAGATTAATTCAGTAATCTCCCTAATGCTGCATTAACTATATTAAGGCTTGAACATTTAAAAACACAGATGTTATTTAGGAGACATGCCATCCTGTAAAGGTTTCAAGGAATAATGTTTCTATAACATTTTTGGATGCACTGAAGCCTTTAGTTTGCTTTACTATACCTTAATTCTTTTTATTTATTTATTTATTTTTACTTTTATTGTATTTGATTATGTAAACTTATTCCACATATTAAAAAGACATGTGTAATAATCAGCACCCCTGCTTTCTGGTCAGTGTCTTGTTTAGTGGGGTTGTCTGAAGGTTAGGCATTAAAATAACTGCACCCACAAATGATTTTCACTATAACGTACAAGTATGTCATGTAGCACTGAATTTCACAAGAATCCTGTCTTCACAAGAATCAGCACCACTGCCTTATAACTACGCTGTGGCAGGCTGGTAGGCTGTTTGTCTGAACTTTGGCTGGATGGAGAGAATATCACTACTTTAGCCACTGTAATTTCTACATGACATAGATGCACAAAGACAAAGAAGCTGCCAAAAATCTGTAGATCGCTGTGTTCACTCTGTTTTGCATGATGCCTGCAAAATTTCAGTGCCTGTGATTTTCAACGCCACACTGGGCGAAAACTCTGCTACCATGACAACAGTGAAGCCGCACCCAGATTCTCATGTCTCACCCTCCGTCAGGGTTGTTTCAGAACAAAGAGGAGAGGGACGGGCTGGTGGTGCAGCCACGGAGGTTTAATCTGGGTCACAGTTGCTCCTATCAGTGGGTGAAGCATTTATTGCTCTAATATGACAATTGCGACTGCCTTTCCTATCACAGGGTTTTGCCAGAATGATGCATCACACCAAGGACATTTGTGTGTAGTTAAATTTCATAAACACACCCACACACAATCCTGTGCGACCTTCAAAGTTGTACATACACTCTTGAAACTGGTCTATAAATCAATCAGTGCATTGATGTGAGATCGGCCTATTGTGTATTTTACTTAATATCAGGGATTTTTTTTTTATAGTTTGTAACTTGTAAACGATGCCTTTTTTTTCTGTTTTTAGTCTTTTAAAAGGTTTTGCTGAGTAAAACAAAAATAATTTCTTATTTCTCCCAACAGTAAAATGGTGGATATCAGATAAGTTTGAAACAAATTTCTAGTGACTATATTTTGCCGTCCATCTGTTTTAATATTCATCCTGATTGTCCGCTATTATACATTTATAAGCTAATAAACTAAACGCCTGTGTGAATTTGCTGTGATCCTTGATCTGTGGCTTATTAAAAATCCTCATAAAGAAGAGTCATTAATTTGCTGTGCTCTTGATCAAACATTTATGATGCCACTGGGCATCTCTGGCTTTTTTTTTTCCTGCCATTCTAGCTTTTCCAGTGTTTCCAGTGTCTTTTGATGCCCAGAAATTATTCACGAGTTCTCAACTGTAGGACATGTCCCCTTTTTTCTCCTTTGTTGCCTCTTGTGCTTATTTTGTCCTTTCAAGTTCAGTCCTGCTGGACAGAGAAAATGCCCCGCGGTGACAGAGCTGGCTGCCATTGGCTCATTCATCTCAGTTCTGTTCCAGGGATATTGTTTCATTGTGTGTTGGTCACGACTATTCGAGAATGCCCAGTTGTCGGTGCTGCTAGAAAACTTTATATAGCTTTAAATTGTGGGTCCTGTTTTAGTTATTTTCCATGTTAAGTAAAATCTGTAACATTTTGAAAGATATCATAGAAGTTTTAGCTGTTTTTCTTTTTACTAAAACTTAAGTATTTGTAAAATTTTAGTTCAAATATTATTTGTAAAATTTTTATGGAAAAAAAATTCTAAATATATTTTATATGGTATATCACAGCAAAACCATTAACAATAGCTAAGCATAAGGTTTGAATGACCTTTCTGCCAGATGAGGAACAGCAGAGATGTTTGTCTGGAGTATCTGCTCCAAAGAGTTGTGCCTCATGTAAACGGCGTGTTCAGAAAAAACGAGCAGAGCTCTCAGGCAAATGCTTCTGGCTTTCAAATTGTGTGCACTTACTTCCTCCAAACCTCCCCTGATGTTCATTTGGTGTTACTCCATCAACGATGTGGAGCAGTAAATATTGCAGAATACACATCTCTGCGGAGGGTTCAGGTCCCATCAGAACCAGTCTGTGATTTTAACTTGCTTTGAGTTCATCCCTGTGTTAAACGAGAGCCCATTATTGACCCATTTCTCTCTCTGCCTATCAAGTCTCTTTCTCTCTCCAGCTGAACCAGCAACATCAAAGGAGCGCGCTTCAAATCGCAGGTGTTGAAGGATTAAGGCCACCGCAGGATGTGGTTTTATTCTCAGCTTCATCTTTGATGTAGTCTCTCTTTGACACGCTTGTATCGCTAACGCGTAACACGGCACACTAGGTTTGAGGATGCTTTTCCGAACTTGGAGTCTGAACTAGTGCCTCCGTTCTTGTTCAGTGACAGTACTGTGCCAAAGTATTCATACCCACTGAAGTTTTTTTTTTCATATCTGGTTAGCTTATAAAACCACACATTTCACTGCAGTTTATTGGAATTTCATGCAACAGATGGACAAAAAGTAACACATAAGGTGTGAAGGTTGAAGAAAATGAAATGATGTTTTCAACATCTTTTACAAATAAACCTGAAAAGTCTCGTCCTTGTATTGAGCCCATTCTAATTAGATACTCCTAAATAAAATCCAGTGCGACCAGCTGTCGGTAGAAGTCATCTAATGGCACTTAAACTGACAAGGAGAGTATTATTCAGAAAAGTAATTGGTAAAGCAAATTTGAAATCACATATTGTTTTCTTTCTTCTTTACATTCATTAAGTCCCCCTGTATTCATTTGTCATATAATTCTCACTAATCCATAACACTAATCAAGAAAATATTACATCACTCTGCTCCGCAATCACAAAGACTACATCAAAACAAATGTAATTCATAAAAGGGTCATCTTAAAAATCATATTTACATCATCACACTTTTCCCCCTGCATCATTAAAACGAAGAGTCTCTGTGATATTCATGGAAGACGCATTGATCAAAGTGGTTTTTGTTCTGCATGTCATGGTGGATGATGTAATGAAAGTCGCAGGCAAATATTTTTCCCAGTGCTGTGAACTTTCACACAAGGGAGGCAACAAATAAACTTTATCAGAGTGTTGCTGTGGTGCTGGCTCAGGGCTCTGCGCTGGCCTTTAACCCTTGTTTTGTCACTGGGGTGCGTTGTCGTGCTGAGGAGGGACAGGAGAGCACATTGTTCCCCCATCCGTTAAGAAGCCACAGAGGCAAAAGCTGGGCAGACGGAGAAAGGAAACGTTACGGGCTACAACAGGCTTACCTCTGAGGCACCAGGCTCAGAAAGCATATATGTGGACTCATACATGCATCACACTCCCAAGGAGACACATGCACATGCTCACACATTTGCCACAATTGCACAGGGGTGTTGGTTAGGCAACACGCAGAGTGAAATATGCAGCTGAACAGAGGACACCTGCGAGACAGAAACTGCCAAACTTTTGAATGACTGAAGCCAAGTTTGTGTCTCACCAAGGACTGTCATGCTGCTCTGCCAGACCATGCGTGAATGTAATTTGCCCTTTAAGTTTCTTCGGTCGATGATGACTCATCTTTTGAGTTCAGAGGGTGCCATCGCAGAGAAATGACTGCTTCCTCTAGTTAACACCATGCTGCTCATCTAGATAAATGACACAACTTTCTTTGTTTCAGCTTTAATATCATAATTTTTTTTCTTATAGTCCTTCTCTTGGTCTTTGACCTTATGAACACAACTTTTTTTTTCTTCTTTCGTTGACAGGAAATCTAGGTGACATCAGTTTTATGTATCATTTCTTCTACATGAATATATTTTTATTTAAGTTTAAAGTGTTAACAGAAGATTAGTTGAG